ATAATGACGATGATAATCATGGAAATGCTTGTTTATGTGCAAGCAAATCGTCTTTTATGCTGTCTTTTCAATGGGGGAAAATCTATTACGGTAGATTTTAAGTGATTTTAATCTGGTAATTGTGTTTGTCGACCCAAATCACAATATAAAATTTCAACCAAGTTTGTAAACGATACTGGCCCACCAGCAAAACCAAAGCAATAGAGAATTAAAAGCGATGAACATACACTATCCGTTTTTTTTTCACTCGTCCCACTCTATCACATTCCATTATTAAAACGAAAACCCTTTCGCAAAAAAAAGGTCAATAATTTATTTGTTGTTTCGCTGGGCAGACGCTTTTGCAAAATACTTAAAATGAAATTAGGATACGCACATTATGGCACATACACCATGTATAATATATCGCTTACGGAGAAGTATCGATTTTAATTTTCGCTCACTTGTGAACAAAAGATAAAGTGAGAAACGGGGGAGAGCGAGAGAGAGAGAAAGAGGAGATGTATATATGTGTTTGCTGAAAGCAGCTTAAGCAATCCAATAACACGCCGTGTTGGACACCAAAATTGAGTTTTATCTCACAAATTTTGCCATGCTCTTCATTTATGGCATCGCACGGCAGAAAGAATCAAGAAAGACAGAGAAAGAGACGCTTGGCACGAACGAGAGAGCTACTATGTGAAAGTCTCCGATTACTCGAAGTTGGATCGTGACTTTTCACCATTTAATCTCCTCGCCTGTCCTATTGTCTCCAAATCCATTTCAAATGTACGTAACTTTCCAATCGAAACGAAAGTGAATCGGACTGAATATGCAAATTTTTTTCCGTTGTTTTTTCCCTGAAAAAATGGCGCTTTTCACTACTTCATTGCTGATCCGTCAGATTTTTTTTACTGTTCAATTCTCGTTGGCGTAAGCACAAAAAAAAGCAGCGAACGGCATTGAGAACTCATTCGAAACAACTGTTACAAGCGGATACAAGCATTGATTTGTTGTCGTACATTGTTTATTTGACTTTCTATGGCAATGGCGAGCGAAAGGGAGAGAAAAAAACGCACGCAAGAAGGATGGCACACGTGTTAAGTTCTGATGAGCGGAACTAATGCCAGCAATCAAAAAGCATCAGTCAACATGACGATGGGCACACGTGCTATAATCTGTCAAGGCCGTCGAAGGCAGTTTGACTGCAGAAAGAATGAAAGAGCGAGAAAAAAAGCACATATGTGTTCGAAAAAGAAAGGCGCGATTTGCCATTTGACGTTGAAGGGTGAAATGATATTCAACGATGTGAGAAATGCACACAATCGAACATTTCAACTGTTATATTTTGTTCCTTTTTCTCTTCAGTCGTGTTATTTGTTCGAAAAAGTCAGAGAGTCTTCAAGTCGCCTGCCAGCATATTATTGGCATATAATTACGAAAAGAAATGTCAACAAATTGCCGTGGATTATTTGGTAATGTAGCGCCGCTCAGAGCCATCAATTTTTATGATGCGGCTGAATGAATGCTCGAATAAAGCTTCAACATTGCGGCAGAGAGAAAGAGCGAAAGCAAGCAAGCAAACAAACGACCGAAAAAAGCGATGAATCCAATGAGCTGTCCGCTTCAGCGAACGAAAATAAAGTTGATACCGAGTAAAAAAAAACACTGAACGGCAAAATATTTGATGTGATCTTTTTTTATTGCGGTAAACTGAAAATTGTTGTTTTATTTTCTTTTCTCGGTTACTTGTTTCATCCCATGCTAAATGAATAATGGAAATGAGTCGGTTTTTATTCGGAGCTTTAATTTGCACCGGCATCCTCATTTTTTATTCATAAAAAACGGCAACATTTTGAATGCCGAAAAGACTTTTTTTCATTTGATATAAAACTTTTCATTTCGGTGTGTGCGAGACTGGATTGTAGCATTCCAGGTAGAATGCGAGGCAACTAAAGCGAGTGAAATTCATTTGCATTTTCTGTTTTTTTGACAAAAAGGTCCATTCATTTTCGACAGATTATCGTATAACTGTCGAATGCAACAGGAGAACGTTGAGTAATTAAATTCCAAGTGAAGCCGCTTTTATGAAGCGCTGAAAATATCATAACCACTTTTGCTGCGGCTACAGTCTTGTGCTTTTCGGTTTCGAATAAATCGATTCCATAAAATGCGCACATAAGTCGGTGAGTTTGTCTGTTATTAAATGTGTCCATTGCCTTGTGTCGCCATGCCAATAGTCATTTGGGATTGACGTTCAAATCTGATTTCTATTGACGTAATCGTCCTGCATTCGCTCATGTGCAAAGCGAAACAGCAACAACAACAAAAACGAACAAACATTCAGGTGATATATATCCTTGGCACAAGTACTGGCTGGGAGATAGAGAGCATTTGGGCAAACGCATTTCGGCGAAAACCATTAGCTGAAATTTATGAAAGCTACAGCACTAGCCAAGCGTTGTCATAGTTTCAAGGATTGGAACAATTGTCGTGAATCTATTTCTGTCCCACTCTTTATTGATGAGGGCAAAACCGAAAGATTCAACAAATGTAGCTGCATGGAATATGAGCCATGTGTCACGTTTTTGTTCACTCTCTTTGCCTAATCTCTTATTTATTATCAAGTGTGCAACTATGTAAAAATTGTAATTTTATGAATTCATGCGAATATTCAGCGCATTTGGTCAAAACCTTTTTCAAGCAAGCGAAACATTGCAATGGAATATGGAAAATCCGTGAATCGATTATAATTTTACCGTTTTATTTATTCTTCTAAATGCTTTCCGTAAACAAACATCGTCTCTACTTTCCACAACCATAGGAAATTTTATCCAGAACATTGCGCTGTGCTTGATCTCCATTTCCGGCCGCAACAAAATGTTCAACGGAATCAAGATACACAGATCCATATACAGTGAATGGCATCCGATTGGGATAATCGTATTGCTCATAGTTTGCCAACGAATTACACGAAACTATTTCAAATATGAATGCGCAAAACCTGGAGAATGCTATAGCAAACCATAGAATTTGCCATACGAATGAATGAAGAAGGTCTGTGATACAGCATAGAAAAACGAGCATCGGGGTTTTTCCTCTTAACCCTCCATCAAAAGAGCAAAAAAAGCCTTGAGAAATGACGCTTTTTTCGTAATATGACATTAACAAAATTAAAGAAATGGCAAAATGCGACAGGCGGAAGAGATAAATAAATGAATAGTCGACGTCCATTGAGCGAATGAGAGAACGAACGAACGAAGAAAAATTGATGCATACAAGGTTGTGCTCGTAAAAATTATGCACATAATCATTTGTATCGATTCAACGATTCAAACGCGTTCGGCCCATCGAAGAAAAACAATCACAAAAAGACGAAGAAAGTAGATAGAGAGGGGAAAAAACCCCAAAAGACAAACATATCTCGTCGAGCAGAACAAGTTTGACAGATATGATGAATGATGTTGTTACGATTTGACGGTTGTCCAACATTGGTTTTCCTTGGAAATTCGGAACAAATCAAAATCTTGCTCATGTTGTGAAACATGGCATGGAGTTTATTTCGTGGAAACTGGCTCCGTTTGTTAATTTAATTATAAATTATTTGAGAGTTCAAATTGAACTGTTCAATTTAACATTTGAGTGAATTTTACCACAAACGGAAAACCATTTGCGTTGGAAAACGCAGAAGAAACGTTTTCTTTTCACCAATTTCTATGGAATTAACACACATGCGTGCACATTGTTGATATGAAATCGTTCGTTTCACCGGAACCACTCATTGAGTGAACCGCATTCACATGGAATGGCTTGGAATGGAAAAGGAAAAGAAATTTCCAACAATTTGTACCTATTGTCAATGGCTTTTTATTGTATCAAAACACATATGCCATTAGCCGAAAGAGTTGGACTATTATGCTTTGTCGTCTATATGGGTTGCAATTCAATCGAATTGAATTTTGTTTGTGTGCTAATGTGAAGCAATTGGTTCAGACGAAAACTTCATTTGGTTACCCATTTCGCTAAATAGGTTCCAGCGAAGAGCCGAAACTATGTCAAACGTAATAAAAATGATTGGATTGAATACATATATATTCGTACCGACTTGTGCAAAGTCAATAGAAAAACTTTTGTCCAAAGTTTTCCATTCCATCGCAGCAGAAATGCTTCACTCTCTGAATACATACTACAATGAAATGAGTTCCACTCTATTCAAATTATGTTTAGACTCTTGTTCAACGAACGACTTTTAATAAATAATCAGCTGCTTTTCCGATTTTTGTCAAGAACTATTTTTTGACCCAATACGAATGATCTTTGAACTATTTGTTCTACTGTTCACAAAATGAATGTTTACATCAATTCAAAAATGGACACAATGATGCAAAAGAACGAGCAAACGATCCAAGCTACCATGGTTGCTTCAATACATTTTAAATAAATAATGTGATTTTCGTTATTTTTAAATCCAGTTTTGTCCACATCGTCTTTGTTACAAGCGAATCTCGACAATCCAATTAACATGAAAGCTTTTAAAGTGCAATTTAAAAAAAATCCATAAAAGGCTTTAGTTTTTGCATCGAAATTTGAACTAACTACTGCTGAATGGGTAACGTGAAGAAGGAGTGAAAGAGAGAGAGAGAGAGAGAGAGAGAGAGAGAGAGAGAGAGAGCGAAAAAACGAGCTGCTCGTAAATGTAATTTGTAAATGCATTTTTATGGCGATTTTTAAAATGGTAACAGATGTTAGCAATAAATAAAGTCACATTTACATCAATATTAACGTCATAAAGAGCATCGAATGCGGAAATCGTACGGAATCGGACAATTTTTTTCTCCATCTTATTCGAACATAAACATATATATTGAAAAGCACTCATTTCATTTAATGGATATTCAGTCTTGAGATGATGTGGTCGTCACATTGACCCAATCTAAATCGATTTATATCAATGGGTAATATTCAGTGAATACAACAAATATATTTAACACACGTGTGTACATTGTAAACTTGGTGCTTACCTTCATCTGTGGACATGGCCAAAAGATAATTTGCTTGTGATACACGGACGATAGCTGCTGTAATGTGTCACAATTGCCACTAAAATCTCGGATATAATTTTCGTCCAGCATGTAATATACGCTTGAATAGTTTAGTGTATCCAGACGTTTGATAAGGGTGCTGATACCTGTAAAATAAATAATAAATTTGGCGACATCAACATATGAATCCATCGAAAATACCCAGAAAAAATCTTAAATGATACAAAGCCAAATAAACCAAATAAAAGTCTAACGAAATTATTCGCTCCAACGAGAAAAGAATATAAGGAGAGTGAAAAAAGAAAATAGAAATATATATACGGAGAGAAGACAGAATGAAAAGAGAGAGAGAATGGCAAATAGAAGCGACAGAGAGAGCAGCAAACGACAATGCGCTTTCAATTTCTCAAGAAACAACACACAAGAAATCTATGATTTCGTTAGCAACGATAAATCAAATAAACGAGAAATGGTGAAAAGAAACAAACTGCAAAAATCATCAAACGAACAACACAGAGAGACAAGACCGAGCGAGCGAGAGAAAGAGACAGATGACAATAAAAAGAACAAGAATAAAAAAAACAATGTGCTCCGCTCATGATAAAGTTTATTCTTCCTTTTTAATCGCTTTTCATTTCTCCGCGCTCAGTCTTTCTCTCGCGTTCTGTGCATCTCGACGAACAAAAAGCATTGCAAGTTCTTTCGCATTTGTCGTATGTTTTTCGTGTTGAAGTGGAACAATATCGCAAAGAGCCATCATATACGAAGTTGCAAACGAAGGATTAATAGCCAAATGTGGAGCGGGAGAAAGAGATAGAGAAAAAGCGAGTGCATTTTTGCCGTTTTCCACTGTATAATCACGTTAAGCATGTGCTCTTTGAGAAATTACAGCTGTTCGAAACACCCATAAATAAATCGCCCCATCCGGGACGAACACAAATGGATAGAGCGAAAGCGAACCAAAAAAATTAACAACGGAAATATCTTTGTTTTTTCTGCATTCGCTTGAATAAAATTTCAGTGAGTGACGATTCTAATCTACTTAATGCAATGAACCATGTACGGCAATGTACAACATATATGCATTTCTCCAGTGGTTCATTTATTCGTTTGCCATATCGCACAACAACGGGTCATTGTAAAACTTTAAGCGCATTTTACGACAGTACACTGAGAAAAACTTCAAGTGATGCACCCATTGGAAATAGTTTTTGGCAAAAACTATTTAGTTTTCAGCATAAATTACTTTTGGTTCGTTTTCCTTATCAATCGGTTGGTTTTACTGGTGCTTTTACTTTGTGTGTTCGGGTTGAAGTTCTTGTGTTAGAAATTCCTTGAAACCAAACAATGTTCGCTGAAAAGTCTTACGATGCATACACACATGTATGCTTTGTGCAAATTATTTCATGAATTTGATGTTTACTCAATTTGACATCTTTCAGCACCAACAAAAGATCGATCGATACATTTATGTATACGTGTTTATTTTGTGTACTACAATAGCGGTGGTCCTGGTCCGACTCACTAGGGTATAATTTTCAATGCAAATAGACAGGGACGAAATTGGTTATTTTCGGTAGAAAATCGAAACGAATCAAAAAAATTTGTGCTGTGCTCGGGGAAAAAATCCAACAATGATCTTATAGCTGTGTCATGCCTCGGACAACTTATCGCTTGTGAATTATGTGTGAATTCGTGATGAATTCCCTTGGCAAAGCACACGACCCGGCATACGGTTTGTTTATAGCAATATTCATGTAATTTGCCCTACTATTCATGCACAGCGGATGAAGAAGAAGAAGAAGAAGAAGAAAAATAAGTGACAAGAGTAATTCATTGAATGCAATCGGCTGAAAATGAAATGCTCGTAAAAGTTTCGCAAACGCTTCCCATTTCCTAAACGTTGAAGTTTCCATCGTCTCGGTGCGAACATAGCAGAAAAAAAACAAGGGAAAAAAATTGTGCTATCGAAAAACGCTTAAAAACTCCCAAGCATACACACACGATGTGAATAATCGAAGAGCCCAAATGAATTCACATTCTCATTCCAATGTGCAAAGTGGCAACATGTAATCGAAAGCAACGAATATTCTTTTTTTAGTTAAACGCTTTTCGCCATCGCTATCCATACACACTTGGAATCTCTGAGAGATCTGATGTTGCGATATGGCAGAGGGATTGATGAGCACTTTTATTTTTATTGGTCTATTAAATGGTATGCGTACACAATACGCTTTTAGTATTGTTGACGCGAGCAAGAGAGTTCGTTCGCTCCGTTGTTGCTGTCATATTTTTGCACGCGCTAAAGTGCACATAGCACATGGCCATTCGCCAATCGATCTATTAAGTGGGGCATACCGAAGGCTTTTCAGATGCTTGTATCCCACTTCAGCCAAAGTTCGTTCAGCGAAGTACCCCATTGTGTGTATTGTTAATACTTTGATATAGGTAAATGTGTATAAAGCTTATTAAATTGATGAAAAAAAAATCACTTCGTTCCGGAATAGAATGTGAACATTGTATACATAACGGGCTTTTGAGAATGTTGTACACACCAATTTTGCTATTATTATGCTTCGATTGTATTATAAAAATTATATTCCTTCGAAATTAAAATTGTTCTATCGAACGAACAAAACGTTGAAATGCAACAACGAAAAAACCCACTCAACTCAAGACTAACCGAATTATTCGAACAAAATCGAATTGATGGTGTAAGTTGCTCACACGTTCTTCGCTGTTCTCACTTCATCGTGCTCTTTTTCGCGAATGGAAAAAAAGAAGGGAACAAAAATACGCGCACGCATCGTATCGATGTTAAATTACTAACATTATAAGTAAATAAAACAACAGAACCACCGTTGGTCTCACTTACCGTCTATGGCATCAAAATCAATCGTTATGTTTGCTAGCTGCACGCCAAACATATCAGTGAATTGCTGAAATTGATCACGTACAAGATTTAGTTCGATATTTTTGTGTGTTTGGATTAAGATCAACACATTGTTTGTTGGAGCCGGTGATGGTTGTTGTTGTCTTCTTTCTTTCGTTGTTCTTTTCGTCATCGTCGTCGTCATCTTCGCTGTCGCCGCTAATTTTGTTGTGGCGAACGGTGGAAAAGTTGTTTGATGGCTACTACTACTCCTCCTCCTGCTGCTGCTGCTCGTTCCGTCATGTGTGAACAAACGCGTAGGAGCATCAGTTGAACGATACCTCCTCGAGGACGTTCGACCGGATGACGATGAGTTGGATATTTTGGTGGGTGATTGTCGTTTGGATATCGCAACTCTGGCATCTGAATGTGCCTGTGGCAATGCAGCAACGCGGTGGTGTGCATGATTGTCATTCAACCATTTCTTATGTGTCGCGTCGACGTTGTCGTCGACATTGTCATTCGGTTGATCAACGGTTGAATTGTGGGAGACACATTGTGCAAACAATAAAGTGAATACTGCAATTGCAATCACATAGCGATGTGGTTTGGGACGGGTGCTGAGGCGAACGAACGGTGTTGTCAGAAATGAAAACGGTTCCCATAAAATCTTCATATGGACACAGCGCTCTAACGCGTTGACAGTGTGACAATAACACCACTCTCTCTTTTACTCTCACTCACACTCTCTGATTTTGCCCTTGTGTGATGCTCTTTTCTCGATTTGCTTCGTCTCGCCTTCGCTTCAGTTCAGTCCACTTCGGTTCAGTTTTAATTGCGTTCGTCCAAAGCTATCAATTCAGATCAGCAGCTCAGAAATGCCGACAACACGCGTATGTGTACAATTTGTGCGGTATAAAAATAGGCCGTCAAAAATAATTTGATGGATGAACGGGCATCAATATTCGTTCTGCTTTTGGTTTGATACGTCGCTTTTATGCCTAATAGCATTAATTAGAGCAGTATAATTTATTTTATTTTTGGTTTTATTATTCGCTGGCTGTGTTGTTTTCGCTTTTTTGTGTTGTATTTTGGCGATCAACTCGGGGTGTCATGTCATCAGTTTCCTGTATTTTCATCATCATCGTTGTCATATTTATCCATTATATGTGCATTTTCCACCCATTTGTGTTGATGTGTGACTGTGCTTTCGGGCTTTTTATTGCCATTGAAAACATACACAGACACATTCATACCGACTCGTTGTCTCACACACTTTTGATCGCTCTCTCTCTCTCTCGCTCTCGCTCTATGCGCCCTCTCTCTTTCTAAATTATTGTGCAGTAAATTGAATGCCGTTGCCGCTGTTTCTGACACTGCTAAATCTAGTTGACACTTTGCTCGCGTCTATCATATGGATAATTTTATGCTTCGCTTGTTTGTCGTTTAATTTTGTTAATCATAATGGATATTACACGTACATAATTTGCCCGAAACAAAATTGCTTTGACAGCCTTAACATGTGACATTGTTTGGTTCGGTTCGTTTCGCATCTGTTGGGGAAGAAAAAACAAGAATAAATACCACACACATTTCACATATAAATAGAAAATTGAAAGCTTATTTTGGTGTACGGGAATCAGTGGAAAAATGATAAGAAAGATCTAAATTCAACGTCGCGTAACAAATCATTCTCAGTTTAATGCCAACTCCCATTGTCTCTCTCTCTCCCTAGCTTGATCTTTTATTATTAAATTAAATGTGTTCGTTTCATCGAAAACATTATTTGTAATCCCATTTGATTTTATGCGTTTGCCAGCCAACAAATAATTCAAGTCAATTTCTATTATCTCCTCCGTTCTACATCTTCTTCATTCTTTGCCGCCCCCAGTGGTCAACGAAAAATACTCCCACTTGCCAATATTACACAAAGCTAATTTTCTTTCACATTCTTTATTTATTTGGATTTTAACTAAAGGTCTTCGAGTGATGAATGAGAATAAAAATAAAAGCTGCGGAGATCGACAGTGAAAAATGCGAAGAATATTCACCGAAATGAAGTCTTTTATCAATCGTGATGATACAGCACAAAATCGTATCGGTCGTACATTTAATGTTGCCATTCACCGAAATTGTAACAAAAAAAACTAATTCAATTACATGAATTGATGAATTTAAACAATTTTCTTTTGTTTGCATTTCTATCTGCTGGATAGAAAGCGATATTCGGAATACGATTTGTCGTTTACTTATTTGCATTAGTCACTTGTTTAGCTTGGCGGATGGGGAAGGTTGGCAAATGTGAACAGTGTATTTGCGCAATTCCGGATGCCAGGTAAAATCATTTCACATCGTACATACAGCGGTAACGATTCTGCGATATCATCTCCGCGTTTTCCAATTTACGTCCGGCTCCATAAATGTAACGAAACTTTTATCAAATCAAATCGTTTACTCACAAACACGCGTACACTCTCGAATCTCGTCATGTACATGAGCATAGATTTTTAGCCGCCCGAACGAGAAAAAAATGGAATTTTTGCCCCAATCAAGGAGCAGACAGCTCTTGTGTACATATTGTTGTACCCATAGCGCGATAGCGTTGCATAATAATCAATCGCATCCAAAGCAGAGAGAAAAAAGCGATGATAAACATTTCAGCACAGATATAAGTCCCGACAATGAATGCCAAACAAAAATTTAATGCGTCCCTTTCTCTCCTCTCGCTGGCTCGCTCGCTCGTTGAACGGAATTCAAGTTAACTTCGATTATTTTATTCAGTAAAAAAAGTCTCATGCGTGTATGTTATTTCTTCATTTTGTACCATTTTGCTCAAAGATGTGAAACGCGAAAGCGAGATGAGAAAAATCATATAAAAATTGATTGATTGAGGGATGACGTGGGCTTAAATTAAGCTCAACAGCTGCTTCTGTTGTCGTCCCCTTATGTGTGTGTATGTGCGCAATGGCATCACCCTCATTTCCATATATTCGTTCACACATACAAAATGTATGTATTTGTGTGTGTGTGTGTGTGTGTGTGTGTGTCTGTGTTGAAACGTGTCAGTGGCAAGTTTTGGCTTCTCAATGGACTCGATTTAACTGCATTTATGAATATTATTATTACAAGATGTTCCCACGCACGCAAGCCAGCCTCAACATCGAAAGCGTTTCCCTCTCAATCAAATTGTGTCTGATGGACGATAACATACGCGCGTACGTATTGACGCTTTTGTTGTTGTTAACGCTAGCATATTGATCACTCTTATATCGTGTGCGCTTTTCTACTTCGGTTAATTTATGTTGCCTGAGTATTTCCACACTTTTAAATTAAGCATTGCTTCCCTGTTTTTCCACGGCGCCTTAGTTGCCAGCTAGAACGACGAGGGTGGCAGCCGTATTCATTGAATTTGAAGCTTTTACGTTCGTTCCCTCATTTCAATTTCACTGATGAATGATGCAAGAGAAGGAGCCTACTTGCTATATGCCCCATTGCAATGATAATAATAATTATAGGCAACAGTTGCCCGAAGTTCGCAAAATATTAGAGAGTAAAAAAATATATGTATTACGATTTTTTTTTCTTCGCTTCCGTCGGTTGGAAAGTGTATTCAATCAAGAAATTCGAATCTCAATATGAAATGGCTTCGCGAAATGATGAACATCGTTTCACAAAACATTTTTCAATTATGATTTTTGTTGGGCCAACAAAAGGAGCAACAAAGCAACATACTTATATTTGGCAGCGCATGCAGAATACAATAACATAAAGGCAGAAAAAAAAGAACGCTTCTGATGGCATAAGGTTCTTCTGCCAAAAGATAAGGCAACTCACATTATGATGGGTTTGTTGTTGCCAACGATTTATTTCACTTCGCTTGCGAAAATTTTAATTTTCCGAAAAAAAATTCACAATATGCCATTGGATCTCTTTTCCGGCTTTTGCATTTTTTTCTTTCTAGAGCTTTGATTTTTCGTTCTTTTTTTCGCATCATCTCCCTCCAAAAATATATTTCTACAGAATAATCTAGAAGTTTGTGGAGCAGTCCAATTAAATGATGTGCTCAAGTGCGGGGAAGAAAAAAGATTCCATAAATTAGAAATGAAATCTCGGGCTCATCAATAGATTCAATATATTCGGAATCAACTCAAGAAAATTGTTTGTGAAAATCATCTTTGAACCACTTCAATGATCATCAAAAAACGGTATAATCCTTTTTATTTTTGCTACGTAAACCGTCTGCGAGGGTCATTTTTTAACTTTTGCCACTTCTTTTGAAGTACTCACCATGGAAAATATTCCAATTTTTCTCTTTTTTTCTGCTCGTTTCGTTTGAAGAAAACGGAATACAAGAAGAAAGTATAACTCTCCGAAATTATGTTGTAAAAATATTAAAAGAGGCATTATGTAAAATTCAAGAGGGAAATTCAATAATTCTCCAGTCGTTTCTCGATCGTTATTTAATCGCCTTGAGCGATGTTAAGTAGCGAGCACTTGATCCCAATGCCAAGAGTTTATTCTTTTTTTTTCTCTCGATTCGACGAAAAGCTCATAAATACCAATCCAACAAACGAGAAAAAAAAAGAAATACATTATCATTATCTTCATTTGGCAAAAAAAATAAATAAAAAATAATGATACCGTAGTAGCGTGAGATGATGGATGCGGTTTTCTTTCTCGTCGTCATCAACACCAAATGAATCCAAAGTGGCACATTTTCGTAAAAATAAATTGTCTCTGGTGTAATACGTTTTTTTGTTGTAATCATAAGCCAGTTTTGTTTTTCCGCCATGTTTTCATTCCCGTTTGAATTTCATTAACAATGTGAGCTGTTTGAATCTTTGCATTTATGTATGCTGATCAGGTGTTTACACAGTTAGATGATATTTATTGCGCATAAACAACAAATTTCATTTGTTTGGAAACGCAAACGAAGAGAGTGTTGCTAGCGAGCGAGTAAGAGCGAGAGCTTGAGAGGGAGAGAGAGCTTAGGATGTATGAAATTAATTTGTGTGTATTTCATTTTTCGTCATCAGCTTTATTAAATTTTGATGTGAAGCTCACGTGATGAGGTTTCAATGCTACCGTTCCAAAGATGACTAGCATATAAATAATAATGGAAAATCCCGAGACAATGCCGTCAACGGGCTACATTCACGCATATATGTGCGTGTATGTATCGTGTACATTGATCGCGGCCGTGCGCTGTGGATACCATGCATGACACCATTACTGGGGACCAATTCGAAAGAGTTAATTTCAAATCGAGCATAAAATTAATATATGGCATGGTAACGATGGCGAATGCACAAGCATGAACCATCCACATATGGATGATTTCATCAGACAAACGCCACAGCCAATTCTGTTCGTACAGCTACTAAACTATGCGATATGTGGTGTCGGTTTTGTGCAAGAATGCGAAACAGCCGGAATATGGGAGTGTGAGTGTGACAGAGATAGAGAGAAAAGTGCTTGCAAATTGTTACGCTTTGTGTTCATTGTTCTCGATATATTTAGTGTAGCACACATACACAAATAGTAGTCATTTGCTGTCACCGCTTTCGTCATTGTCGTGTCGTATCATGTCAATGTTTAAACGCAAAGCACTATTTTGTTGCGATGCTTTTATTAGCCCCGCACTACCAAATCAACGAAATTGCAGCAGAAAAAACGTCGACTATGTCATTGGATATCGGACTTTTGGTTCCGATGATGTTGCTCTTGTTGTTGTTCAAATACGCAACATTTTTGTTACTAATTCTTTGGTTACATCAACATCCGAGGTTAAGCTATTTCAATGAGGAATCTCACTAGCATCTGCACCATGATTGGCATATCAGTACTAGCACATTTGTTATCATCATAGTTTTTCTATGATTTCACTTCGGTTGCTGTCGCCTTTCTTTGCTCTTTCTCCTATTGGTCAAACTTTGCCTGCCAACCAACACCGCCGAGCAACCAACAAACAAGCAAAATGACAAGAAAAAATCCACTCTCACACACAAAGTTCACGATGAGAGCAAAAGCATCCCAAAAGAAATTCCAGAACAGTTTCAAGACACAGCTTGAAAATGAATTGTTGCCGTTTGAGTGGGATGATGTGTTTTTGTAGCTGAAAGTTTTTGATGGTTTTGAAAAAAGCTTCCGGTCGATAATCACAATATTGACACTTCTCGCTAGTCGAAAGTGCAAAAATCCGGCATTACACCAGCAGTGTACAGCAACAGCAGACAGATCGAGATATAAAAAAATTGAAGAAACAAAATCAAGAACATTCTTATCATGTGTCATGTGTCATGTGAAAAATGAAACGAACTATTCAGCAATCCACAGCACGTTCTTTAGTGAATACTTCTGTTTTCTATCACATTGAGTGCCTTTGCTTCGGTCTTATTTCGAGTGTGTGTGGTTGCCATCATCATCTTCAATGTTGCTGCTATTGTTGGGCATAGATGCGTGCATATGTGTACTTTTTTCTCGTTTATTCTATGATTCTTTCACATGAGGTGCTGCTGATACTGATGGCGGTCGTGCTGGTCAAATATCATTT